AATGTTTAGTTAGTTTAGTAATATTAATAATATTATTAATTACTTTATTGATTTTCATGAAAAAAAAAATAGTTACCCTTCTTGATTTTTTAACGTTTCTTGTTTATAACGTTTAATATATTGGCGTCTTCCTCAATTAGAATTTATAATTCTTATTTCCAATTTTATTTTCCTTCTTGAATGTTAATCTGGGTCTAAATTGAAATTCAAAATTAAGCCGCAATTCACTTAAATATTTTAACTATAATATTCTACCCCAGTCGTAAAGTAACACGCGATAACCAGATTTTTTTAAACCTTTGTTAATCCCAACATAAAATAAAAATAAAATTGATAATTGCTTCAGCATGAAACTCAGAGTTGTGCAATCTATGTAAGGTACTTTGTATTTTTCTTTATATATAATATAAAAAATGATATATAAATATAATATGATTTCCCAGAACAGCACCAAATGAACCAATCAGACAACTTTTTATTGATCTTTTATATTCATACAGATACAACATTCACAAGCTAAATTAATATTAATTATTAAAGTTATTAGATTCTCATCATGAATGCTAGACATGCAAAGTTTTTCAGGCTTGGATCTTTTAACAAAAACTTGACCCATACTGCAAAAGAAAATTTAAACTTTGATTATAAATAACACACAAAAGTTAAAGGCTAATATATTATTTTTAATGATGAGATATATATAATCAAAAACATTATGTGTGTGTAATATATATATATATATATATATATATATATATATATATATATATATATATATATGTGTGTGTGTGTGTGTGTGTGTGTGTGTGTGTGTGTGTGTGTGTGTGTGCGTGTGTGTATCTGAATGTATGGATTGTTTGATGTATTTATCTAGAGTTATAGGAATTATTCTTTTCCAAACGCGGTCAGCACACTGAACGTGTTCATAGTTGATATCACTGAGTGCTGTTTTTTTTCTATTTTATTTAAAAGTACTCAGACATACGAAACATCTGGACAATTTTTACATAATTTATGTCCCGAAAAGAAGAAAATTATAAGAACACAATGAAAATTAGATAAAAAATAACCACAGTACCTTGTCAATCGTATTTAATGAAACTTGTATAAAAAAGGGATTGCTTCCTAAATGCACAATGTTATATATATATATATATATATATATATATATATATATATATATATATATATATATATATATATAAGCAAATATATGGATATAGATCCGACAGTATGAAGAAAATATATACAGGAAAAAACAAACAAAATTCCTTTATATACAATTTATACTGTTTTAATGTTAATATTTCAACGTCGGACATGTTGTATTGATAATGTTATAATTTATGAATATGTCCTGAAGATGGTTTATTAGACCGAAACGTCCGACGTTGACATATTAACATTAAAACAGTATAAATTGTATATAAGGATTTTTGTTTGTTTTTTCCGTACATATATATATATATATATATATATATATATATAAGAGAGAGAGAGAGAAACTTATATGTATTAAAACGTATACATATAGAGAGACATAAATGTGTGTGCAAATGGCAATTTTATTCTCTATTAGTAAATCTTTGACATTTATTTAATGTGTTTGGTACAATATAGCATTCACAATGTTTTAAGCAATATGTAAGTCTGTGTGGGCGTGTTTGTTGTGCAAGTGTATACGTCTGTATGCTGCAGCGTTTCAACGCGTTTCAATGAATGAAATTGATGTTTTTATTGCTAAAAATTCAACAGTGCCGCAAAAACCCAAGTGAAATAACAGCGCCTCTCTTGAGAAACGTCTTCTTATTTTACGCAGAGATTTTTCTTGTTTTACGGCAAAATTGTTGATCAATCTTCTTCTGATCTATTCCCAATCTGAATGTTTTCTCTTGAGTGACAATCAAAGGCCTTTCTCCTTGATTTTTTTTTTGTTGACTTTTTGTATTTATTTTCTGCTGTATTTATTATTATTATTATTATTATTATTATTATTATTATTATTATTATTATTCCTTGTAATAAACTTTCCTCGTAAGAAGAAACTTTATTTGAAAAAGTTGATCGCAATCGATTCTGACTTTGTCAACAACAAAATGTTATAAATATTTATTTTGGTCGATTTCGTAATTCTATCATAGTCGAGAATTTATGATTATCTTTTCGGGATGAACACACTGACTTCGAAAAATCCCATTACGGAATAGAAGAGTTAATAGGTTTCTTAAGCGTAATATACGCATAGAAACCAAATACGCATGCGCGCACAGTAAGAAACACACAAGCGTGTGTGCATGCATCTTTACATAAAATGACCAAAAGAATATTGCTGAATGTCTACATATAAATATATATGAGCGTCGTTTAGAAAGTAATTATATTTTACCCCCCCAAAAATATAAGATTTTCAAAGTTATTCATATTTCTCCGTGTGCCCAAGTCGCAACAGTATTTGACAAATTGTCGAAGTTTAAAGCGGGATTATTCAGCAGTACCGGAGAAAATGTGATCAAGGGCTCTTGGTACTTCCACTTTTTGGAGATGCCTCAGTCTCCGGGTAATGACCTCCCATCCTCCCCCGAAGGAGATTTACTGCCTGGGATGATGTTCCTCAGGGGCTCGACCTATTATTATTTCCAACTTCCACGACAGAATCGAAATCCTGCGCGAAAGATGTATATGATTTACTAATTATAGATTAGATGTGGCACAAGGCCGAAAATAGTAAGGACCCAGTGAGGAACGAACTCACTATTCAGTTCAAGTGATACAAGATTTCTAAAGACGTCAAAGTGCTTCTAAGATATTGGGATATTTCCCACGTCGCAGTTGAAGGAGAGACAAGATCGAGGTTTAAAGTGGGTTTACTGACAATACTGCAAAACATTTGCTCAAGCCTATTCAGTAGTACTCCTTTTAGGTCGACTTGTGTGATGGTCACCTGAAGTTTCAGCTTAATATTAATTTCAAACTACCCCAGCAGATACCGGGAATTTTGATTTTTTAGCGCGCCCATGTCTCTACTCAAGGTCGAGGTTTAAAGTAGAATTATCGTCAATACCGTGGATAAATAACTCAAGCCTCCTCAGCACTTTTTCTTTGGGGTTGTCTCGGGTGCCAGGTAATGACCCAAGACTCTTCTCGAAGTAGAGATACTGCCTGGAGAATTGACCCTCTGCTGAATATTCAGCTGAATATTTATTTTAAACTACCCCAGCTGGTGCTGAGGAATTTTTATTTTTCAGCGCGCCACTTCACTACCGAATGTAACACAAAGATTAGGTTTAAACTGGGTTTTAACGGCAATACCGTGGAAGTAGATTTTTTAATGATATTAGGTTATTCGGAAAGTAATTAACAATGATCTTCTATGTTCTATAGTGACACGATACATAGAATAAGTAGAGAAGAAGGTTGGTATACACATACTTCGTAGAATCAGATTTATGTCGCTTCAAATCTCTTCTTCATCTGTGAGTAAATTGTTCAGTATTCAGTGGCATATAGGAGGACTGATATTCCATAAAAGTTCATAATCCTTTTGTTTCTAACGATTTTTTTTTTGTTTCTTAATATTAGGTTGGTGCAAAAATAATGACGTAATAATGTCGTTTTTTGACGTTAAAAAATACATCAAAAAACGACATTATTATGTCATTATTTTTGCACCAACCTAATACTTTGCTTAGCTTTTGGAAGACACTTTCACTATCCCAATGTAATTTATTTACTAACTAATTTTACTTCCCCTGCGAAAATGTGAAGATTTTATTTTGTTATCTGTATTTCTACACAGAAATAAAATGAAGGAAAATATTGTTTTTTAAGTTTCAGTTAAGAACGCACTAAATTATTCTTAAACGCAGCTGTGGAAGGAATGATAACCTATGGAAGACGCAAAGTGATGTAATCTTTTGAAAAATAAACAAGAGGGAGTAAATGTTGTTTTGGCAAGAATATGAAGATTTCTAGACACGGGGTGTAATATTTATTCCGAAGAGAGTTCGAAACAGGTGCAAACTAGCTGGAACACCAAAAGTGACAAATGCTACTGAAGATAGATACTTGATTGTTGAGAACAAAAGAAATAGAAGGAAAACTGCTCTGGAGTTGACAGCTGAGGTTAATTCCTCTATACAGCAAGCATTGAAAAATCAACTAAGATACTTGAGACTGAGGGACTGCATAGCCATAATTAAACCCCTGTTATGGAAAATGAATAATCGGAAAAGGCTGTTATAGACATGAAAAAGCATAAGAACTGGACACTGAAAGCGTTGCAAAATGTATTGTGGACAGATAGTCCAAATTTGAACGTTTTGGTAGTAAGAGGAGTGTGCATGCCAGAAGAAAGCCAAGAGAAAGACAGAATGATGAATGTGTGGTTCGAACACTTAAGCATTGCGGTGGGCCTATTATGGTTTCCGTTGTTTTGGAGAACGAGGGCTGGAGATTTGAATCAGGTCAAGGGAATCATGAAAAAAGAACAATATCATTCAATTTTACAAAGACATGTCACACCATCTTCTCGCATAGCCTGAAAAAAAATGAACCTTTCAACAAGACAACGGTCCAAAACACCCTCCTAAATTATGACAAAATAACATCGAAGTAAAAAAGGAGCACAATTTTGGAACTTATCACTTGGCTACTTCATTCCCCTGGCCTCAGTCCCATTGAATTAATATAGGATGGATAGGAAAGTCCGAAAGAGAATATCCTAATAGTGAAATGTAACTTTTCAGTGCTTGAAGAATACTTGAGGAGGCCTAACATTTATTTTTTTTAAAGAAGGCTGTAAAGAATGATAAGAATTTGTAAAGTCATAAGTTTTATAGACGAAAACAAAAGAGGATTACGTTGTATGGTATTTTTATAGTTAAATGCTTTTGTCAAAATAAAAGCAAATACACTGGAGTTAGTGAAATTTTATCTTTTACATTAAAAATATCATTTTAAGTCGTTCTTAAAGAAATTCAAGGTTTCGCCAAATTTTTAACCGTAGTGTAGAAAAGGGGATAATGAACAAATAGATAGATAGATAGATAGATAGATAGATAGATAGATAGATAGATAGATAGATAGATGGAATAATCGGTTTTTAAAAGAAATATATGTATATGTGTGTATGCAAGTGCATACGCGTGTTGTGCGTAATATTAAAAAACTGAATCGATAGATAAAAAAATCACACAAGGCACAACTTCCTTACACACACGCACACACACACGCACACACACACGCACACGCATACACACACTCAACTGCAGTTCCAACTCCGTCTCCTCTATTTCTCAATCCGAGCTTCTATCCACCGTGACTGTTCATATATATATATATATATTACAAATTAATTGATTTAAAATATGGTTATTTTCGCTACACAGTTCCAACCATGTTTCAAAAATAGAAGCTAAAAACCCCTAATTTTATTTTTGCAATTAAATTAAAAGCATTAGTTCCATTTCATCATCAAGCGAATTTTGGAGTAACTTTTTAAAAATTACCGGGTTTTAAAGACACAGCTAAAATCACGTTTCTATGGTTACAGAATATTCTACTCAAATTGAACAAGGGGTGTCTAGATTTTCCTTATGTCAGTATCATTGTATCAGTTATTAGCTACAATTTGGTAAGGGGTAGGGATGTATTTTACACTGAAACCTGACATCAGTTGAATGGATGTCGTCTGAATTTTTTTAAAAAAATTGTTAACAGTAAAAAATTTCAACGTCATTTTTTTAAATTTAAAGATTTTTTTCTAATACTTTTATTTAACTACGATTTGAAATATTTTCCTTTTAATTTTTATTTTACTATATTCTTTTTAAGAACAGTTAAATGTATTAGAATCCATTATATTATGTAGGATTATTTTAACATTAAGTTTAAGTATGTATATGAGGTTACATTTTTTTTTTTTTTTTTTTTTGTATATGACTATGACAGCAAAATGGTTACTTAATTTCACTGATTCAGTAAACTTTTCTTTTATATATAAACCTAGTATTATTATATTTCACATGTAAGTACTGAGGACATGGGTCATTCAAAAGCTTACATCTTATGGTATTTCATATTAATTTTATTTTACTATAGGTGTTATTTTTGGATTCTTTTTAATGCGTGTAGTATTATTTAAAAGAAATTTAGGTTAGAATTCATTCAATTTAACTACAATTTTAATTACAAATTCAAAATTACAACTTTAAAATTTTAAAATATTTTTCATTGTTTAGTTTTAATAGACTATATTACTTTATAACAGAAGGAAAATTACTCATAGTAAGTAAAATTATTTTTTCCATATCAAAGTATATGTAAATTATAATTTATATATATATATATTTATAATAATTTATAAATTATATATATATATATATATATGGAGAAAGAGACTCAAAGTGAAAGAAAGAGAGAAAAAGATGAGTTGAAAATAGAGATAATGATAAACACAACAGATAGATTTATAGATATAAACAGGCTGTGATAGATAGATAGATAGATAGATAGATAGATAGATAGATAGATATGAATAAACTTAGATAGGAACAGAATTAGATAGATAGATAGATAGATAGATAGATAGATAGATATGAATAAACTTAGATATGAACAGAATTAGATAGATAGATAGATAGATAGATAGATAGATAGATAGATAGATAGATAGATAGCGAAAAGACAGAATATATTTCGCCTATTTTCCTAATGTCAAGGATTTGTGTTATTTTTATCTTTGGAAACTGTTTCTCGTTTCTTGCATAGATTTATGCATATTTAACTTCTATCAGTGTATGCACATATATATATATATGCACGCACATGCACACACACGTGTGTGTGTGTGTGTGTGTGTCAATGTGCCTGTGTGAAATGGGCTTTGCAAAAGCGGCCGCCTGTTTTCTCATGCTCATGCTCATTTCAGTGCCTGCAAGTTGCGATGTGTCTATATACGTTCGTGAGAAACTTGGTTATTTCTTGAATTCGGACTCACATCGACCAACCCGAATGGATGCAGATAGTCCAGGACAATTCTTTATTTTTATCGTCACGTCGGGTTTCCACTAATGGAATCAGAGATTGGGACAAGTCAAGTTCTTCTACACGCCACGAAGCAGCCGATCTCTATAAATAGGAAAAGAAAGGTAAGGTGAAAGAAGGACATAACAGGTAAAAGAACAGAAAATTAGACATAGGGATGATATCAGAAAGGAGCAGAGGAAGGAATAAAAAGTACGCGAAAAGAAAAAAAATGAGGAATGAGAAAACTGAAAGAAAAAGAGAAAATAAATAAAGCCAATGAAAAAAGGGGAGAAGGAAGGTACAACGAAAAAAAAATAATGAATACACGAAGGAAAATAAGGAAGAAATAAGATTGAAGCAATGGGAGGAGACGAACGAGAAATATGCAAATAAATGAAATCAAGAAGAAAGGGGAGAAAAGTTATGAGCGAATTACAATTAGAAAGAGAATACGGTAATTGAACAAGTGCGAATAAATGAAAAAAGTGTGGACAGAAAAAAAATAAGAGAGAAAAAATAGCAGTAATTAAAAATGGAATGACATAGGACAGGAAAAATAATTCAATGTTCAGGAAATTAAAAATGTAAAGAGTAAAATAATGGAAAACTGTTGTGGGGTCCAACCCTTTTTATACAAATGGACTCACCCAGTGTATACTTATACTACTGCCAGTGAATACCCGAAGAGCAAGACCGAGGAGTCGAGTCAAGTCCAGAGTGACAGAGTAAAAGGTTGTAGGTAACCGGAAGAGTGAGGGTGAGGTAACAGCGTTGTAGGAGTCACAGTGAGCGAGCACGTAGACTCAATAAGAAGTCATACAGCGATACTTCAATACCCAAGACTGTATAGATATTTTGCTACTAACCCGTATTCCTGGAACTATTAACCTGCTTTACCAGTTTGTATTATTACATTAATACATTATTTTCATATATTCATTCCTGGCGTTTGTTATTTATTGGTACCGGATTTCAACCCGGAATCCACAACAAAAACAGAAGGATGAAAAGAGAGAGAACAAAACGAAAGCCAGCGGACAGGGAGTTAGTAAGTGTTAGGAGGGGATTGAATGAATGAATAAAGGAATAAAGAAATAAATGAAGGAATGAAAGAATGAAGGAAAGAAGGAAGAAAGGATCAATGAAATCTTAGAAGGAATGTAGTAATAAATAATTTCTACAGAGATTAACATCAGCATTACAATAAATAAAGGATACGTTTATAGACACAGAATATATATTCTGTCACAGTCCGATATAAAATACTTAACTATGCAATTTGGTATTATGCCATTGCATGAGCCTGGCAATTTCTTACGCTTTGGAACTAAATGGAAACCTGAGCCTGTGTACTGCTACATAGCCACGGCTCTATTCCTAATTAAAACTGAAAATCATTGCATTGTCATTAATAAAAGAGGCGCTATTAAGGTAATATTTTGGCTTCTTGATCATGAATACTCCAAACTTGAAAATTACTGCCTTGAATTTCAAATCGTTTTCTTCTGTTTCCTTACCTTTCATGTATTAATGAGTTCAGCGCCTTCCTTCCGCTAAATATATGAACTTCCCCTGTAAATAAAATTCAATGATTTTATGATCGGTTATTTTAAAATAATGATTGTTTTCACTTATTATAATAACGATTGAAGAACTCTTAATTTTCTGTCACATTGTTGAAAAACAAGAAAAAAGATAACAACCAATATATTTGTCGTCTTTTATGTACCCATCAGTATCGTTCACGGCAATTTAGTGCTTTTGATAGAGATTTGGGACTGAGGTAGAAAACTTATAGTAGGACACACGTTACTATTCAGCTACCTTGAGTGCCTCTCATACCTTGTGCTGAAATAAATGAATGATAAAAGGCCAATATTTTCACAAATAAAATGGAATCAATCAACTCAAGATATATTTATGTTATGGTGGTGACACACCTATTCTATAGTTAATAGACTCTCCCACCTAATATAAGTAGGAGTAGAAATAGAAACGAAGGTGATTCGATGTCAGTCGATGTTGGACGACAGTTAGTCGAATACGAAAGTAGTCAGCGACCACAACAAGATTACTCTGCGTAATACCTATTATATCAAGTTCCTAACGTTTTGTAAGTCGAACCTATTTTAGGACCGATTTAGTACAATTACAAGCCTCCACTGCGAAATCACTCCACAACAATTTATATACGTAATATATTAAAGTTTTACCTTATAAAACTCGACCTTATTTATGTATTTTTTAAGTAAATGCAAAATATATAGTTTTTGGGTTTTGGTTTGTTTTGTTTTACGGCATATCAACCTCAATGGGTCATTTAATGCCGACAACCTTTTTTTCCTGGTAATATTTTTGTTTATTTCTGGTAATATTTTTTTTCTCGAAAATGTATAGCTGGTAATATTTTTTTTTCAAAAACATATTGCTGGTAATAGATTTTTTCTTCAAAAATTTATTTCTGCTAATAATTTTTTACAAAGTATTTCTGGTATTAAAATCTATTTTTACACTTTCATAATGCTATTTACCTCAGTTTCGGGGTTAACTATTTACCCATAGCTGGGACCCTAATAGGTGCTACCACCCCGGGTCATGGTGTATCTGGGAACACCAGCAATTAAGAGTAGGTTCCACGCTCCTCAAAGCCTCCTGACCAGAGGCCTTGCTGTTGGACGTAGTTTATCGTCTTACCCTGGACGCGGATGTAGTTTATTGTCATACCCAGGACGGCTGTTGGTATTATATATATATATATATATATATATATATATATATATATATATATATATATGTCCGAATGAAATGAAAACGAAAATAATATATAATTCTAACGTTCACAGCATTAATTCAAAAAGCACCGATAGTAGAGCAATAATTATTTATTATAATTTTTTCATATAGAAAAAACAATTTCCTCACTACAATGATGCAACTTCGATTCGGTGCATTTAGTTGGTTAAAAGAGGATATATTATTGTAATATCATTCCTTAAAAGGTCTTCTTTTTAACCATTTTGGTTCTCACCAGTCGAGGTGCCACTAAATACACCAAAATTGAGTTGCATCTTTATACATGAAAATAAAGAATAAAGACTTCAGCAACTCTTAGATAACAAGTTGTATCAAATGAATGATATTAACATGGAGATACAAGCTTCTAAATATCATCAGAGATAATCTGAAAAATACTTTAGACTCAACTTTTGTGGCTTATTTTGCTTGACACCTGACAATGTTTATTTGTCTGAAATCAAGAAATAATTATCGATAACTATAATATATATTTATAATTTGATAAACAGACTTTAAATTGCATAATAACATCTTACACCATCAGATACAATATCGCGAATTTTTCTAATAAGATCAGATAAGTTGAGCACCATATGGTATATTTATGAAGTATAGGCTGAAAGTTTTGCCAACATTGATTGGTTAATACTAATTTCTTTGTCAAAATATTGGCTTCGATCGTAAAATCTAACAATGTATATATGTGTTTAGATCAATTATTTCGTAAGTATTACATGAATGTTGATCTAAATGTTTCACTGTTCGATTTAGGATATTAATATTCAGCACTGAATTCAGTGTGTCCATAATAAAAGTAAATATTTGTTGTGGGAAATAAATGAATAAATTTAAATGTTCAGGTATCGATTATAGATTTACTTATCTATGATTCACTTTTTTATGTAATAAATTGTTTTCTGTGAATTTCAAAAACTTCCATGGACCCTGTTTTTAATGAGAAAAAGCATACAAATATAGATGAATATAAAGGTGCGTTTGTGTGAAGCGATTTGAGAAGTATATTAGAATTTTCCATAACTAATACTATCAACAAAACACTTGCACATGGATAAGGAATGAATTCAGTAAACACAAAAAACAGAAAGTAGTGTAAGACAAGGTTGTGTCTTTTCACCAGACCTATTCAGTCTTTACAGGGAATCAGTCCTGAAAGAAGTAGAAGCCCTACCCGGATATATTATTGGCGGCCATAATTTTAACAAGAGATATGTCGATAACACGGTAGCGATAGCAGACTCAGAAAGGAATGTACAGGAAATTCTACATAAGGTAGTATAGAAAAGCAAGGGCCAAATATCAATTGTAAGTAGAAAAATCATTTGCTTGCCAAAAAAATAGAAGAGTCCAAAAATATGAATTACAAATTGGAGCTTCCAATAATCCATCAAGTAAAAAAAAATATCTAGGAAGTGTTTTAACAAAAGACGGAAAATGCAACACCGAAACCCGAAGGCGCATTTCGATAGTGAAATATACCTTCCAAAAGCTAAGCAAGGTATTAAGAAACATGAAAATATCTTTAAAAAAGAAAAAAAGAAAACAGTATTGGCAGTGAATGCTGGAGAATCATTCTTCACAGAAGATACTACTTGGGGCAACAGAAATGTAATTCTACAGAAGCATAGTAAGAATGCCATGGACTGAACATGTGAGCAACAAGGAAGTTTTAGAGAAAATGACCACTTATACTTAACATCAGAAAAAGATTGTTGAAATCTCTTTAGAAAGGGAAAAGAGCTTGGAAAAGTTAACATTCACATGACAGATTGAAGGCAGGAGGGACAGCGGAGAGCACTGCATAAACTACCTAATGACATTGTGTAAATGATCGATAGAACAGGGATTAGGATAGATAGCAAAACATAAATTTTGCTAAGCGCTACAAAAGACAGAAACGTGTGGAGAGATATGATCGCCTATGTCCTGAAGAGACACGGCTCAAAGAAGAAGTACTTTACCACTATGAATTATCAATCAATAAGACAAGGTTGAATGTTAGAAAACTGCGTCTATAATTGGTTTGTCATATTGTTTATGTGACTGTGTATAGTGCAATTCAGAGTTTAGTCGAGAAACATTGTAAAGAGGGAATTTGCTTAAGAACTGAAAACTACGTTGTACCATATGCAGTCGTCATTAAATCAAACTTTCGTTTTGGCCAACCATTCATATAGGTGATAAAAATATGGAGTCTTCATATCAAGGGAAAACTAATAATACAGAGGTTAACGTAAGAGAAGAAACCAGTACCAACAGTAAAACCAGACCTACATCCATTTGCTTTGTGTCTGGTTGATTATGAAAACTATCGTCTAATAGGAACATAGAAATGACAATCATTACAGACGTTTATGGCCAGTAACTTGATCGAGGGAACGAATGATTATATCGATAATTGGCCATCTAAGTGAAAAGAAAAAAGATTATTCTCTCGCATGACAAGGGAAGGGAGTAATTTGTAAAACAAACAAAATAAAAAATTAAAATCTTTAGGATGAGAGGTTCTCATGATATAGCATTTATAGATTTTCTTTTGTTTCACTCAATAGAAAATTTCACATGTGGAAGAACTTTCAGAAACTAATAAAACATTGAAGACGAGATTTCGTTAAAGGTAGAATTTAACTTGCACCTCTTTTTATATTCGTCTTGATAAAAACGAAATTGCTCTCGAAACAAGCTGATTTTTTTTTTTATTGACTATTGCTCTTATACACGACAAATAAAATTATATATAAATAATATCTTGTCTGTCACAGAGGTTTTCCAAAAATAACTTGCCGCAGAAATGACACCATATCCTCTAATCTATTGGTAGCAGGGGCCTAATTCAGTACGTATTTTATGCCTGAGCTATCCTGTTAGACATTTCCGTATAATGGTCTTTATCTGTTTATTTCTCTCTGTACACACATACATAAATACATACATGCATATGTGTGTGTGCGTGCGCGTACATGTGTGCATTTATCTTCATTTAAACATGTTTCATTGAATAATATAGACATATTATGCCTATTTATTTTTATGATAATGCATTCTAGTTTTCAAATCATTCTTTGAAATTCACTCTGAGGATGATTTCTGGGGATACCCAAAGTACATGGGTAGAAAAAACTACGGCGCCTTCCTAAATGAATTTCATATATATGAATAAGGTACATTTAAGCAGCTAGTATTCATCCAAATTTGATTAAAAAGAACCCATAAAATCTTTTTAATTTTTTTTTGTTTTTTTTTTTGGTTTTTTTTTTTTTCAATTTTTAAAAAAAGCGTTGAGGTGTTTTTGAAAATGGTGTTTTTCAAAGTGCTGGATAAACTGTCCGAAGCTCAAATTTTGTTATTGTTTTGTTAAAGCACTTTTGAACATCGCAGTCAGTATCCGGAACCAATGTGGTGTTTCTGTGTTGGTAGAATTATTTTTTCCTCATCCTAGAATTCTTTGAAAAGTTCTAGCGTGAAGTAATGTGTAACGGCTATTGGGAAAAAGACCACACAAAAAGAATACAATTTATTTATTTATTTTATTCTATAAATAGTTAATTAATTTAATTTGTGTAATACTAATATAATATGTGCGTACAGACGGTATCTTCAATCGGATATATTATTCATGTGCTCATATATTATATTAGTAT